TTCGTCCAGCTCCAAACCTTGTTAACTCAGATTCTCCAGCATCTGCAGTTCCTACTACCTCTAGTCCATTTAAGTCATTGGACTAAGGTGTGGGTGCCTGCTGAAGCTGGTCAATGTTATACCCTTTTTTCAATGACATGATGGGCAATGTCAGCAATGAGGCAACATCCAAACCCTTTAAAAGATCCACAGTGAATGCAAACAAGATCATGTACTGCCATAACATTCTTCTCTTTGCTGTTGTATGCTTTCAGGTCATCTAGGTGTTCATTTCACACCATGCTGAAAGAAAGATTTTCAAAAAAAATTTACGTATGGAATGTGAAAGTCACTGGCTATGCTAGCATTTATCACTATCCCTTATTGACTCTCATTTGTCACTGGGCAATTACATTGTTGTCTGGAGTTACATGTAGGCCAAAACAGCTAGGACGTAGACATTCTCTCCCTAAAAGGGAAATTATTGAACCAAATTGTTTATTTTTTAAAAATGGCAATTGACACAGCAATCACTAAGTTAGCTTTTTAATTCCAAACTTTGAATTCAATACAAAATTTCACAATCATGGTGAGTTTCAAACCCACATCACAGAACATTAGCCTGGAAACTCTGAATTACTAGTCCATTGGTATTACCACTACACTACCCAGCCTTCCTTTCAACCTCGTCTCAGATCTTAGGTGAGAAAAAGGTGTGCCAAATCCTCAGAGTTGCTCTACACTGATGACGCCACACAAACATGCCATAATATGGAATACTGTCAGCAATAAATTAAGATTTTACTGTCTGTGACAAAAAAAAAAACGGCTTGCCTATCAACATCAGGAAGGTAAAAAAGCAATGGTCCAGAGTATTGCCACACCAATATCAGCACTGGCAACATTAAATTGTTAGCAGTTTCACATGTCTAGGCTACACAGTTATCAGCTATCACTCATTATTAAAATTTAACACACTCATTGCAATGCCTGCAGCTATTATATTTAAGTTGGGTAAGAATATGGAATGGAAACCATCTGACCGAGAATGTGAAACTGCAAATCCATCAAGCTTGTCCTCACTGCAAAGACCTGGACAACGTTTGAGACCGGAAGAAAACCAGAACTACTTCCACTTTCATCTCAAATATCCTCAGCACCTCCTGGTACGACTGTCACTAACCCAGAGGACCAGAAATGCGGCAATTCCGCCAGCATTCAAGTTACATTTATACCACACAAATGCCAGCAATGACCATCTACAATAAGAGATACTTGACATTCAATGACATTACCACTACTGAAAATCCCACTATTAAAATCTTGAGATTTACCATTGACCAGAAACGGAACTTGCTATACAGTAACTACAACAGCAGATCAGAAACAAGGAATACAACAACAAGTAACTCATCTGCCATCTCCCCAAAGCCTATCTACCAAATACAAACCAGGAATATGATGGAATATTCCCCACATGCCTGGATGAGTGCAGCTCCAATCAGACTCACGAAACTCGACAATATCCAGGACAAAGCAGTTCACTTGATTGGTACTACACCAAAAACATCTGCTGCCTCTACCAGTGACACTCTGTAGCAGTGGGCACTAACTGCAAGATGCACTGCAGAAATTACCAAAGGTCCTTAGTCAACACCTTTGACAACAACACAACCACCTAGAAAGACAAGAAATGCAGATACATGGGACCACCACCATCTTCAAGATCCCCTCCAAGCCATTCACCATCCTGACTTGGAAATATATTGCTGTTCTTTCATTGTCGTTGGGTCAAAATCTTGGAACTCCCTTCCCAACAGCATTGAGATCCATGGACAATAGCAGTTCAAGACGACAGATCAATACCATCTTAAAGGGCAACTTGGGACAGAATGTCAGCGATGCCCACATTCCACAAGTGAATTTAAAAAACACACACATTGGTCATCCAAAGCAATGTTCAATAAATCTAGCCAACCCTATATGATAACTGCATTTCAAATCCTTCTGCATAGATATGCATGCTTCAGCTGCAAAGATCTCTGCAAGTATAACAAAGAAGAATACGGACACTAACAGTGGGAGACAGACAGTCACTGACTACCTTGATATCTGAAGGCTGACTGTTGTAAGGGAATTAGGAGAGGCAAGCAAAAATATTGCTCAATTGGCCAAGTGGACCCAGAGAGAAACCAAAAGGCATAAAAATGTGCATCTTTTCACCCGAGCCTTCACCTGCAGCAAATGTGGGAGAGACTGCCCTGCCAAAGGGTTGCTCTGAATCACACCACATGATGCTTTTTAAAACAGAAGGGGAGAACAAGCTGCCTTCTTGAACTACTGTCCTTGTTCAGCCAGCTGACCAGGAGGTTACAGTGAACTGAAAAGTTGCTGTAGTCCATT